TAGATACTTGCTGCAGCCTCTTTTGTACGAGAATTTTATTCATGGAAGATTTTAGAATTCCAAGAGACTTCAGAGGAATAAATGAAACCTCTAATGATTCGTACCGTGGCAATCGTGTTACGTTATTCCAGCTCATTAGCAAGCGAATGGACTCGATCCAGACCAACTGTACCAACGGAGAATTCATTTTCAACGTCAGTTCGCCTCTTGGCAGCCTTTGTAAACGAGTAAAAGAACGCTGCTGCTTAACTTCTCTCTGTACTGCAATCAGAAAACCCAGAGGATAATGATGTTTCTGGATCGTTAAGCTTTATCACGGGGAATTGACGCGTTTATCCGAATCCTGAGCACAATGTTCTAATATCGGTACGAGGCTATATTTCCATCTGTTTCCCAATCACGGAAGATTCGACGGTGGTCAAACAGAAAAAAAAAAACGATGCGATAATTTCGCGAAATTTCCAAAATGTTGTTGCAAAATAACAATCATCGCGATTCCGCGATATTCTCGAGCACAATACGTTCACGGAACCGTAAAACTGCGAATATTTCTAACTTTTTTTTTGTTTTTAGGTGCAAGGCGTCGCGGAATAATCGTGGATCGTTAAACTTTCCAGGTTTTGCAAGCACGCCCGCGAGCGCGTTAACATCCGCGCGGGGTTGTCTTTACGTTTCATGGCACATGTTCAGAAACAACGAATGTAGCATAGTAGAATTGCGCAAAGTTCGAGAGCGGCGACTGCTCGACCAGTTCCCGCGTAATTGTCGATTGGAAGAAGAAAAAAGAAAAGAAAGAAAAAAACAACTCGTTAGGGAGGATTAGCTCAGTGACTGCTCGAAGAAGATTCGCAGGAAAATTCTTGCGATTCTCATGTTTTCACGGTAACAAAGCAACGTTACTGGGAACCAGAGCCTGAATTGGAAGTAAAAACTGAAATCAGAAGTACTAGGTGTACAAATACAGTCTCGTTTATTATCTTGCCTTATCATTTGTGGAATACTCTATTATTTAGGGAATTGAAAACTGAAGATGGTGTCCTGTTTCTAATTTATCGCGTAATTTATTTCGTAGCCACGTTTTTCGAAAAAATTTCATCTCACTAATCTCAATTTAACGTATTAACATGCTAAATAGCTTCACTTGAACTTTTTTTAAGCAGAATATTTAAACGAGTACTCATTTGTTCCATGGATGACATGGCAGACGAATTGTTAGAGAAGTATACTCTCGTTCATAAGTATTAGGGCACTTACTGAATCTGAAGAAAACCTAAACGGTCGTTAGAAAATTATTAAAATTCTGAAAAAAATGATTCAGTCTGGAATTTCGTAATGCAACGTGTACATGCGATGAAATCCCTAAAATCTTGCCTTTATAAAAATTAGATTTTAATAGCGTGTCATTGATTATGCCACAACGAACATTCTTACCAAATTCAGACTGAAAACGAGTTTGTTCTTCGTCGTTGAACTTATCTCGACAACCGCTTTCCTATAATATAGAAAATAATCACAGGTACCAATTTGAAAAAATTCGCGATATCGTGATTACGCAAAAATCATTAAAAATTTGAGAGATAGTATCGCATATGAAAAATAATAAAACTTTGTCCTCACAAATCCACCATTTACGAGAAAAACGCTGGAAACTAATAACGTGTGAGCACCCTGTATATTTGCACTGATACACGATATACTAGCTTTGACGAAGAAATGTAATTTAAAGAAATAATAACAGGTGTCCTAATACTTGGCAAACGGCAGTGTATGTAACTAGTCTATTGTTTTTAAATAGCATTTACATCACATGGTTGTAGAATATTTGGAATTTGTAAGCAATCAGTTTTCCTTTCAATATGCATATAAATTCAAGATGGATAAAATTGCTCTTTCACACTAATCAAAGCGTGGCTTCGTTAGTCAGTGATCTGTCTATTTCGACGATTTTGTTGCAGTTTATGCTTTGTTAGACGTGGAAACCAAGATCCTGGCCAGACTTCGGCTGGATTATCTCCGGCTAATGCGGTTTACATTCAATGAGCTAGCCTTTTAACTGGAACCTGAGAATCCTGCGTAACTCTCGTCGAAAACATGCATTATTACTAGCAAAAAATTGAGAAACTTTATTATCATTCTAGAGAACGGCGCAGTCCAACGTGGGTTTCTGCTCAAAAAACTTTCATCTCTTGTAAAAAACTGTAGACGTTCACTTTAACCGTTCGATTATTCATTTTCCATTCTTCGAAGATTGTCACTATCGATTTGGAAAAAGGTCCTTGTTAACTTGGCGTGTCAAGCTGGCAATTCTATTGGGAATCTTCACGAACGAACGGGTCAAAGCGAAGTTTTCCAGTGTGGTCAAAGATTGGCCAACTGGCACTCCCATGTAAAGGGCGGCTAGTTTTCTCGATAAGGAAATCGAGCAGGCCAAAGGTAGCGAGAAAAGTCGCTTTAGAGAATCCGTGCCAAGGTGGAAACTTCGCGAATCGTTGCAACCTTCGTGCCTGAAGATCACGTAATAGAATGTACCCACTCTTTTTCGGACAAGATTTTCGGTAAAATAGAAAAATATTCCTTCTTCTCTGTCCACCTTTTCAACAGCTATTCATTCAAATCAATAACAAATAAAATTAATTAATCGCAGCAATTCAATTTAAATTAATACAACTTTTTTAGCTAAAAGGAAAGCTGAAATTTGTAAAGACTCTTTTGGTAAAATAGAAAGAATTGCTTCTTCTCTGTCCACCTTTTCAACAGCTATTCGTTTAAACCGCTGGTATATAGAGTTAATTAATCGTACTGATTCAATTGAAATTAATATAATTTCGTTAGCTAGAAGAAAAGTTGAAATTTCAACTGAAATTGTGAATGGAGAATTTTTTTCCTGGAACATGTACAATTTGAACAACATAATCGTACGACCCAGAACTAGATGCATTTACGACTTTACTTGTACTCTAGCGGCTTGTTAGGTTACAGCAGGCCAGCGTTTACAACGCTTACGAAATTGGCGAGTCGTAAAACCCAGTCTATTAGCGACGCGAGGGATAATTGGGATCAATAAGGTGGGAGAGACGAAATTTGAAACAGAATTTTACCGTGTCTCTGGGCACACGGAAACGTACTTTTTTTTCCCCCTCCCTATCGGGATTGCATAATATTCCACGGATCAAAAACGCGTACAAAGAATTTCGCCTCGTGGCCGTTGTAGCTGACCGATTTTGCAACGTGAACCGTTCCTTTCTTCCCTCCCGATTACATTAATATCTGCCCGTAATCATGCCCGATACTAGTAATGAATTTGAATTTCAAAACGGCGAAACACTTTTCTTTTTCTTTGTCTTTTTTTTCGTTACTTTTGTAACATAAGCGGTTGCACCATTTCTCTACGTTTTACTCTACGTTCTTTATGGTTGCACGCGAGAAATACACTCGCAGAACGAAAAATTCTGATAAAACGATTAATTTGCTTGTATAGTCAGGTTCACGACACGGAACAATTCGATTCTCTTTTTCGTGGCCGAAATTAATTCACCGTGTCCTGGGCGAAAACCGAAAAAAAAGAGCTTGGAACACGTTCTAATTTCGCACAGATATAACGGTGGCCATAGACGGAGAACAATAAAACGACTGTCTGGTTCTTTTTTATCTGTACCATGAGACTTTTTAGCATACTTAACCGCGCGGAGCTAATGAATTTTTACCAAAAACTGTGCAATAATACACCGATCAGAGTGGAGGAAGAAAAAGGATAGATGATCGTTTCTTAGCAGTGTGTAGCGTTGTTAGGTATCGATAATAAATTCATATTATTCAAGGGTAACGAAGCACATCGAAAGGGGAAAATGAGTGTGCGAGGAAAAGGCTAAAATTTCAGCGGGAAATTTCACAAAATACTCGACGAAACTTCGTTGCGATTCACGTTACGTCAATTTAGCCGGAAGTACCGCTTTTAATTTTCCGTTGTGCAATTCTTTCTATTGCTGATCGACGTGATTCTGTAATACTATGGATCTGACAAAAATCCTTAAGAAAGAACGATTGAAAAGTTCGTAAATATAACTGAAATTTCGTTTATATTTTACGGGTACAATATATCGTTGATGTGTTCAAATATTCTTATCACTTATGATAGAATGATTTAATACATTTTCTCTTTGCAAATATTTATTTTGCCATTCGCATCGAAACTTTCTATTGCTATTGTTGTTTCCAGATGATCGACGCGATTCTGTAATATTGTGGATTCGGCAAAAATCTTTAAAAAAGAACGATTAACAAATTCGTAAACCTAGTCAAAGTTACAGTTGCTCCATATTTCGTTTATTTTTTACGATACGATATGTTATTGATGTGTTAAACTATACGATGACCTGATATATCATTTCTTTGTAAATATTCCTTCGCGATTCTGTAATACTGCGAATTTCGCAAAAATCCTTAAAAAAGAGCGATTAAAAAATGTTGAAACGTAACTGAAATTACAGTTGCAACATATCTCGCTTATTTTTTCACGATATGTTACAATATTCCTGTCACTTACAACAGGATGACCTGATACATCATCTCTTTGCAAATATATCTGTCGCCATTCGCATCGCAGCGACACACAGTTTCACCAACATTTTACGCAAGTGAAACAACGCTCTTTCGACCAACGCTCACGATGCTGTTTAATTAGTCACTTGTTCGTCGAAAAAACAGTGAAAATTCGAAAGGAAAGGCATACGCGGATCCTTGATGAATTTTTGCTCGTGATCTAAGTTCCCGTGTTTTTTCATCGAATGCAACCGTATGTTCGTTCCACTAGCCAAACCAGGTCACGATCCTGCGCGACTATCACGACAATTTCCGTGAAAATTTTCCGGGTCATGGGACAGAAATTTTGGGTTTTCGAGGGTGTCATCGCGGTTACCGGAAGTGGAACTCGACTCTGCGGTCAGCGGAGCGCCGAATAAGGGGTCCGAAAGGGTCGATCGCTATTGGTGAAAGGGGTCCGTATGCAATGCAATCGTTGTACCCCCGCCTCATCTTGGCTCCCTGGGCCTGGGCAGGGCACCGCTATAAAAGCATACCGCGTCGTCCCTCAGGTACGTAGTGTTTTCCCGTGTTCTGCACAAGAAAAATCGCCCACAATGAAGTTCGTCGTAAGTTTCCATCGAACGAGTCTCTCTCGTTGTTCACTTGGACCTTCTTACTTCTGGTCCCTCTGAAACACCGTAACTTTCAACATATATATATATCTTTGCTTCTGCTCACAGTGTCTCTGTACTGTTCAATTTTTACT